ATATTGCCTTGGGATCGAGGGCGCCGTAACAGAAGCAAGCATGAACGATCGGCTCCTTGTCCCATCTTTTCGTCCGAACTTTGTCGCATCCATTTTCGTCTCATCCAGTCTGGCAGCGGTGTGCTTCGAGACCCTTGGCCCCTGCTCACGGGAACGGGATGACGGACCACTTTCATGGCGACCGACTGTTGTTAGATCCCGGCTGCGTGCTTAATTGACCCATTAAGCGATCTGAGCCGGCCTGTCTTTATGGGCTCAGCCGATAAACGATATAATGCAACGGTACCAGTGCTATGCGCAAGCGAGGTTTAGTTCGCAATACGCAGTTGGGGTGCGGGAAAATCTGACGGAACATTAGTCCCAGAGATGCTTGGAATGCATCCCAGCGTGCTGGGACCGCTGCCTGCTGGGTTGACGATCGCATTCCGTGCACCTGAAAGAAGCTCGGACCCCTACAGTGAGATTCAAGGCGTCTGATCGCCTCAAAAGTATCCGTACCCGTGACGATCCGAGTCTCCAGATGTCCCCTGCTTACGGATACGGATGAGAAGAATTCTCCGGCAGGCTTCCCCCATTGTGTATCGCACGATGCTCGTATAACGCATGAGTTAGCCAGAAATGCTTACGCCATGACTCCAAGACCGCACCGAGGCCCGAGGGTACCCGTGTCAACAACTGGGGTTTTTGAAGGGCACTGGCGGCCAAGGGCTTGGCGTCGTCTATAGTCATCATTCGAAAGATGTTCCACAACACAACAGCTCACCTCAAGTGCCACCGTTCTTTTCTCCAGGTTGCCAAATATGTGGATGAAGGCAGACTGAACGCTGGCGCCACGCGCGACCTATGCTGCTAACCAAGGGCCTCCCGGTCGGGGTAACTTCACTCTGTAGGCAGGTAGCTCGTCTCCCGCCACCCGTGTCGACGCCGTGGTCGTGCGTTACGGCACGTCGCCCTGGCATGGCATTGGCCAAGATGCGTAAAAAAAACACTCAGGCGAAGCTGTCGAGTCAGCTGCCGCATCCTTGGCCTTCGGGAAGGGGGGGGGGGGGGTGGGCAGGTGATTGCACCATCCAGGATGCCAGGGCCGGCGCTTGCCACGGAGAACCACAGGGACCGAAAAGCGCCCTTCGGTCCGTAACCTGTTCGGAAGTATTTTGGACCCAGGCTTGACCCTGTTGATCTTGCCACCCAAGGCAATCACAACCAATTGTACTGGTACAATTATCCATCAACGATAATATGACGATCGTCTAAATCCCTGACAAGTAGGCAAGATCGAGGACTACAATGGTGCGCTGTTGTTGCGGTATGGCCTCAACGCTGCTAAGCTCACGGAACTGCCCAATACAGGCAGAACCCTTGGAGTCTTCTGTGACAGGCGGTTCGACGCTGTGACAGGATGGCTAGTGCGTGGGGTCTTGATGTGGTCATTGTGTTGGATGAAGTTCTCCTGGATCAAGCGCACTTGTTGCTCGCTCCCTGCCCGAGTCAACGTCAACGGGTGCAGGTCGATGGCAGGGTTGATAAGCGAACGAAGCGCTACTCAAAGAGGCACAGCTTGCGACGACCGGTAAAGCCGTCGGTGATTAAAAGTGCTGTGCAGCGAGAGGGAGTGATGTCGTCGCTCTGGCAAAGTTCAAATGAGAATGACGGGGTTCTAGGCAGCATGACGAGAAGGACTGGTCAACGTGGAGAAGAAGGAAGGTTTGGCGCTGAGGCGAAAGGTGGACCAGGCGGTAAGCCCGCTGGACAACGGAGACATGGAGGCGCCCTGACGCTCTGTAGTCGATTAAAGCCCCGGCCGGGGCGGGCAACGGGGAGCTTGGAGATAAAAAGATGACTTGTCAATTTACCGGGAGCAAGGAGTATCCCACACAAGATGACAGGGCTTTGGGAGCGCAAATGCGCCTTCGGCCGAGTGATTGAGGGTGTCACAAATTCAGGTGAAGTGGGGGAGGTAATGAGCGGATGATTAACTGCAGCATGGGCGTGCTGGCCTCCGACCGTGTTTTGCTGGATTCAAGGCAGGGCGGGCCCTGCCGTGGCTTTCTGTTGATATTGCATGTCGCTGCCGCTTGTGAAGAATCTGGATGCCAATTCCGGTGCGGCACCTGATGCGAATTGTCAGGAGAAGGCACCACCACGCAATTGCCGGTTGTTGTTAGATTTGTCCCCTCGCACCAAAGCCTGTGCGTAAAAAATGGCTTTGCGGTGGCGAGAAGGAACAGCCCAGGCATGGGTGCATCGCGCCTTCTCCAAGGAGTCAAATGCCCAGGCCGGGGCTCATCAGCTATTGCCAGGACCACGCTAGCTACCAGTGGGCGGTACACCTGCCATCTGATCAGTGTCGACGCCCTGTGCTTGCGAGTGCCCACTGCCACGAGCGCTCCCGCCCGTCCACTCGGAAGCCCCACCGAAGACAAGACAATGCAGGTGCCAGGTCAGCTACGAGTCTAAGACAATTCCAGGGCGGGCAGGCGCGATGAAGAGCTACCCCACCGGCCGGCTTCAGGCAGCCTGGGGCCTGGGCCGGCCCTTTCCTTCTTTCTCAGTGTTGACAATTCTTTGTATGCGAGTGAGAGGAACAGGGCCAGACAGGTCAGGTGCGACAGGCCGGAGAGGGGGACAGCAAGAGATCCGGAATCTCCAGTCTCGAACGCTAACGAGTCCCGACTGCTCGGAGGCGTCACATCGCTCGCATCGCAGCCCAATGCGCGTTGACGCACTGAGCTTCAGGCCACTGATGCAGCGCGCGCGCGTGCGTGCGAGCGTGCGTGCGTACGTGCCTGTTCTGCTGACCCTGCTTACCTATTTCACGATCGATGAGACGTCACGAGAGCCGCAGTGTGGAAAGATAAGACCAGTCGCTTCGATTTCCCCCGCATTGCGATCGGCTGGCTCCTGCTTGCACCTTCGCCGTCTTCTCTCTGGTCTTCTCTCTGAATGGACAGGAGAAAGACACCGAGTAGGCGAATTGCTGGGGTGGAATCAGGTCGAAAACACCTCAACTCTCATTTCTCGTCTCACCTCACGCACGCCTTGACACCCCCCTGTGGCACACAAACTCTTCCCTACATCCTGTTGAACATTTTTCTCTCTGGGACGAGGGGAGGGCAGCTGCATCATCTGTGCACCCACATCCCTGAAACCTCCCGCGGCTGCCGCTCTCGGCAGCAGTTCACTGGGCCAGCAACAAGCAGGAGCCCTGCCTGTCACCGTCTCAGGTCGCCAAAAATGATTCCCGAAAGCTCGTTCTGACGAGTTGCAGAGGACGAGAAAGGAAACCGGTAATTGCTCCTAAATTTGACATTGTGCAATAACCACAACACCGTTACCGTCTTCAGCTTGGCCTCTGGTCGTCACCAAAACCCGGCCGCTCTCTGCGAACGCGGCGCCTCGCTTGCGAGGCTCGCACTCACAACCCTGCACTGGGTGTCACTTGAGAACGCTCGGCATGCTGGACTGCTCTTCAATTATATTGCACCAATGAAGCAGGACTGTACCAGCCTTGCCATCGGCCTAGTGCACCTTGACAGAAGTCAAGGTTCAGTCGTCTGAACGCCACCGGCGGACGAGAAGGCAAGATCGACCCGATACACCAACAAAGCTACCTCTATTTCGCTTGCTCCCCGTCCGCACTCTAACGTGCACCAGAGGCCCGGCGCTTGCAATTGCACCACGAACACCAATTGCTCCAGCACTCGCGATTGCGAAGCGATCCATCGGGCTGCGACGATGACGGGCGTCCTAACCTCTCATCTGTTAATCCACTCACACATACCGAGACACCCACCCCACCATCCCATCTCGTGCAGCTCGCTCATCTCATCAGATGGCGGCACTTTGCCGAGCCGAGATACCCCGGTTACATCGGGGCTGGCAGCCACTACTATACTCATTGGAGACCCCGGCGTCCGATGGCCGTAAGTGGTGTGGTGTTAAAAACCTCGATGTATGCACCACCCCTCCAATGTACCATAGCGCCATGTTCGTGGCCGACTTGCATCCAGAACATGGGAATGACAGCGGCCTTGTTGAAGTCCGTCAGCAACAGCATAAGCTCCGATACACGATATTATGAGTAACGTTTTTTTTCTCCTTTTCTTACGGCGAAGCCGGAGAAATGAATAGCGGGACTCGAATCCCTGTCAACGCGAACATCACATTTTGCAGGGGCCATACTCACCGCGAGTTGCATTCAATCGGCCTCTTCGCCGTCCACGCCGCCAAGCCGAACTGCCAGAGCTGGAATGCGCCGACTTGACAAGCTGTCCTACAGCTTGTGGCGCCAACTCAAGGACTACATGCATCATAGTGGCTCCAAGCTCCTGGCGCTACGGTTCATCGTCTCAGGATCGACGTGACACTTGTATGACAGTTGAACGCTCATGCACGCATTTCTGGGACTCCTCTGCCAGGTATTGGGGGCAAGCCCGGAACTCAGGGATCCGGCACGTGAACGCCATGCGAAAACAATCTGGCAACAACTCTTGGATCTGCATCTGATTCTCGTTATGCTGCAACATCATATGACACACGTTGGGGGAGGAAAGCCGTGCGGGTTTCCGACGCTGTGGAGCCCAACCTCCAAAGGTCACGCAACATTGCCAACACGTGCAGAATGACACGGAATATTTTGGGAATCGTCAGGATATTAGACAGGTCCCTGTAGGCTCGGTAACTTTCAGGGCACGACGAATAACCATTCAGCGTACCAGAGCTTCCCTGGGGTCCATCCGCATATCTGAGAATAGCCGACAGTTACTGGCGATCTGGGTCGCCGCGTGCGCTCTCGCCGGTTGCATGATCGCTCGTCTCAGGTGACAGCGTGGGTTCGCGACACCACGACTTGCTGTGATCGTATGTTCCCACAGCTGCAATGCCCTCCTGAATGGCCTCACAAGTATACTCTCGAGTTGTCCCGTTACACAATACCAGGGGTCATACCAGCCATGGTTCTTGTCATCTTGAAGTGGTGTGGCATCGCATTACGTCATCACGCCGCTATAGCTCAGTGGTTAGAGCATCGCACTCGTATCCATATTCGACATGCGGGGGTCGACGGTTCAACTCCGTCTAGCGGCAGAATTCATTTTGTTCTCTCCATTAAGGTCATTTTGAGGTCATATCTGTCATCAACATTGAGATCGTGGAATTTATTTTTATGAACTCGTCCCAGTCACTCGACAACTTTTTGGGTACATGGGCTCGGTTTCAGGAGTAGTGTGGTCTCAGAAGCTATGCCACGTCTTCGACTGGTCGATCACACAAACATGCGAGTCAGCAGAAGCGGCGACTGCAACCAACATGAAGCAAATCCAGTCTATTATGTCTTGACCCTAGCATGGTTCAAAGCACGAATGGGCGAAAGGGAGGCGCAAGGACAGTTATTCAGCCATAAAAGTTGCGCGGCATTCGTCAGTGTGTGATCTTGGGCGCTTGGTAATTTGAGTTACTGATGCCATCTCTAGCTCGGCAACATCACATGATTGGCTATTTTGCGGAGAAAGCACTGCGTACAAAAGTCATGTCAAGCGTAGTGTCGTTTCTACCAACAGTAGAGGGAGGATTGCACCAAGGCAGTCAGTTCCTAGTACAGCCTGAAACACCGATGGCTCGCTTGCGCGGTGTGATCAGACGAACACCTCAGATGGCAGCGAGGGATGGTGTCATGCGACGAAAGGGACCAGCACAAACTTAAGCTCGTACGGGCCTGGTTCGAATGTCGTCACATTGGCTGGGCTGCACCTTGTCAACAACAGGGCAAATTGAGGTCAAAGACAGTGGTCGACTGTTGACCGTGCACGCGCATCGAGCAAGAAATGGAAGATCCCCAAGGCCAGTGGCTTTAGCCGATGCCGCCGCAAGGACTAGGTGTGGCGCTTTGGTCGAGATGAGCTTTTAACGCCAGGCACGTGGATTGGATCTCTGCCGAGTCTCGCCGGGTGGCGCGGAGTCGGTCATGTCGACTTCAGGTGTGACTGGGGTCTCCGAGAGACTCGATAACCTTGGCGGGAAGGGAAGGTCGACGTGCACGCCTGCTGATGCGTGCATTCGACCCTGCAGCCAGGTGCGGATATGAGCCTGCGGCATACCTACCTTGCCCGGCGTCCAGACTTCGACAAAGATTGATCCGTAGGCGGGTAAACCTCCTCGACATGGCTGGAGGGGCTCGGAGGAGACAGAGCCCAGGGGGGTAGCGTGTTGAAGACGGACGAGATTCTGTAGGAGCCACACAGGAGTATCTGGCTGTGGCAAACAAGGGGAAGGACGGGTCATAATTCGTAAACACCTCACACGGCTCAGTTAGATGGCTGGCGAATGTGCGACATGGGCTCATTGCGCCCAAAGAAGCCAGAACGACGTTATAAGACCCGGGGCGAGGGAAATGATCGCTGCTCTTGCGAGGGATGTATCTAGAAAGAGCCACGAGACGCTGAACACAACTGATCGACCAGCACATTTGTGATTCGACCTGGCGAATGGGTCTGGCCCGAGCCTGATGCGCTCGTAGACGTACCTTGGATCACGCCGTCCATTTCATGGCATGAGGTGAGCAGCGACTGAGCCACATAAGCTGACCTGGTCCTGCAGGGCTGCGGCGCAGTGATGTCGAGGTGCCACTGAAGCGCAGTGGCAGCAGATCTGGCCGCCCCTCCCCCTCCTTGTGGTTGTTCTCCAACACCTCGTCTAGCGTGCATTGCGCGCCCACACTACGGCAGGCGGCGGGCGGCAGGCGAGAGGCGGGCGAGAAGCGAGCACAGACGGGATGAGCTTGAAAGGTAAGGTATGGCACGCAATATCGAAAACCACGCGTACCTTACGTTAGCCCCTCGGGCAAAGAGGCGAGAAAAGCAATTGACTGGCTCATCCTCCGTCAATCATTGCCGAGGCGAGCGCAGCGCAAGGCGATGGAGCCGTTGCGGCAGCGTTTGAAGCAGATTTGAGACTCGGGACAGCGGACCTGATACAGCGACGATCCCCACGCGACGGACGGCTAAGTTGATTGATGTGCGGGCGGGGAACGAATCATCGCCAACGATAGGACGCTGATGGGGAAGGGGGGTGGGTGGGTTGCGAAGCAGGAAAAAGAGCATGGTTACAGTTTGCCACGCCGCGAGAGTTTTCGGGACTGGAGACGAGCGCTTGACCAGCCAGACATGGCCATGCCCGCCTTTTACCGGACGGTGGCTGGAAGCTCGGCGGAGACGCACATTGTGGTGTATCTGATGGCGGCGAGCCGAGATACAGATCATTGCTGACCCTGTGGGTGAATGAGTCGCAGTCGACTGGATGAATGACACTGCGCACACTCACAGGGCCTTGGCTTTGGGGGGATGGGAGAGGGGATTGTGGGGAACCCAGCCGCCGTCAGCGACCGAATGGCGGTTGAGCGTGGCCGAGACTGATCGGTTGTTGTGCATATGAGGGGACCTGCCTGGCCTGGAGGCACGTTAAAGAGCTGCACGCAGGTGTGAGTGGGCCACGGCGTCTCCCGTGGGTTCTGTGAGCTGTCGCTACCACGCACCTAAGGACATACTGTGGTGTGTCTGACAACCACGTCCACCACAGACAGCCTCATGGCTCGCGTCTCCTTGTTGCTACACCAGCTTCGCCGGCCTTGTCTTCTTCTGCTTTCCCTTCTTCCCTTCTTTGCCACCACGATATCCGCTGTCAGCCCCTCCGCCCTTCTCTCTTCATCCTGCCAAGGCTTGGAGTCTGTAAAAATGAGCTGAGAAGGAGGACAGAATCTGCAGGGGCAGGGATGATGGAAGCTGGAAAGCTTCCTACAATGAACGCCACCGACCTTGGGTCCGCCTAACCTGGCTCTCCTGTCAGTCAGAGATTGAATTCACGTCGAGGGGCATCTCGTATCGAGGCAAAATCTTGGTTGTCAATTCCTTGTGCGTCATGTAGGCATGCTAGATGTATACGTGGCCGAGCTCATTATGATGTGCATTAATGCTCGGGGCTACACGCTCAACGCTTCCAGCGCGGCTCCGTAAGGTATGGAATGAGGAAGGTGCTGCCCTTGCCATTTTTGGTCGGGAACAGCGAATCTGTCGACTGTCGCCTGATTCGCGATCACGATGCAATCGGCATGACCGTGTGGGTGCGCAGGTGCAGCGCAGTAACAATAGCAGCAGAATGGAGTAGTGGCAGCGGCAAGAGCAAGGGATACCGAGTGGTGTCTCAAAGTAGGTGCAGCCTGTAGAGCACATGGTCACTGCCCATCCTGCAGCGTGCCTGCCGCCTGCCCAAGTGTCCACCATTGCTTCTGTAGTCCGTGCCAGCAGTTCCCTGATAGGCACTGACTTCCTGCCACAGCTCCCGGCCTGCAGGCAGGTAGAAGAATGCCTACATGTATATTCAGCGAATGAAGTAGCTTGCCATCATCCGAAAAACTCAGAGCCTTCTCGGATGAGGAAAATGAAGTGGTTTTTTTTTTCTTGGTGTAACGACGTCGTCTCAAAAGCCAAAAGGACATTGGAGACGCAGTGATAAGTCATGAAGAACAATGTCGCTCTAGCCTATCAGGCATTACGCATCATCTAGAAGCTCAACAGGACACGACAACGAAGAAGGCAGGTGCATGTGAGGGGCTTCAAGCCTTGAGGTGCACACATCTGCTAGTAAAGAGGGGCTGCTCCTGCTGCTTGGCGAGGCAGCTGGGACACACACTTGGGTTGTTGCTCACGCGTATGTAGGTAGAGCCGAGGCCGGTGCAGGCAGGTGCAGCCAGGCGAGCTGGTACGTGCAGGCACAACGCGCTTTAGCAGGGGCGTGAATGGGTTCGTCCATCCCGTCTCTTGAGGTAGATCCATCCATCCAACAGTTGGGTTGGAGGTGTGGTGGCAGGCATTGTGATCTCTGCTTCGTCCCATCCTCGACCGTCTTAACTCTCCAAACGTCCAAGCTTCCAGAGCTCTGGGTTCCCGGCCAGGCTGGTGCTATATTCCTCTTCTCCACGAGCCGGACCTCGAACCGCCAGATGAGGCGAGATGCCAAAAGAGAGCCAGCCAGCCATACACCCACCCACACCAGCGTCTGCACCAGCCTACTACTGTCTCGATTTCGCCGGGTTCTACGTGCGCGCTTATCACGTCCACGTCTGCCCTTGGTTCCCTTGAAACCTCGCATGCTCTGCAGGTCGTACAGCGTACAGAAGTTCTCTTCGTCTTTATCTCGCCTCCCTAGCCCCTCGCCGCTCAGACTGGATGAGAATGAGAGACGCAGCTGACGGCGGTGAGAAGAAAGTTCGGAGAGCATGGCGTAAACAGTTCTCTCTGTAGTATCCCTTTCCAATTTCCCTCAAGTCTCCTCTCGGGATCCATCATGCCCCTATCAGTACGGATCGTCGTACGCCTCCTTCAAACGGAAGCAAGACCTGGGACGCGTCAATCGCATCTCCAACACCTGCAGAGAGATACTGCGGTGGATTCGCCCCGCCGCCGCTGTGCTGCTGGCGGCTGTTGGGTCACTCATGGGTGGATTTACCATACGACGGGCCGGGCCAACAATGATTTGCACACCACCACACTCCTGGCTTCGCCATCTCCACCAATGTGTGTGGTACCTCACCAAAATTACCCTTACAGGTCTGCAACACCGTGGCCACGCATAGGCGACGGGACCTCGATGCTCGCCGCATCAGATCAGCGTGCCAGCCATCCGTCTTGAGTTCGGGCTCAAGCTCTATCGTTGGGGTTGAGGGCCGGGATCAGCAGGCCGCTGTGATCGCAACCATGATACAACCGCGACAACGACCGTGGCCATGGTGGCCGTGATTTTGGCCACGACCGAAAGCAACCAAGATCTAGATAGTGTCATGGCTGTCTCGACTGGCGGACTGCGCAATACGCAATACCAGCACGATGAGCGGCAGCTTCATCAACCATCCCATCGAACAATCCACCCACCCACCTGATCCACCAGGCCATCCACCTTTTTTTATTCGTCCCATCTTTTCTTCGACTTGGGACGATCGGCTCACACCTCTCACACCCTCCCTGGAGCACCCCTGGCTTCACTCCTTCATCCCCTGAACCCCGTCTCCCCCGTGCCCGTGCCCGTCCCCCGTCCCTGGTTCCGCACGAGCTTTTGGGCGCCCCGATGCACTTGTCATTTCCCTGGCTCCCCACTCCCGCCCACTGTCCGTGCAGTGTCGCCCTGGCAAGCCTGGCACCTGGCCCTGGCCCGGGTCTTCTCCTCCTCCTCCACCTTTTTCTCTTGAGCCCGCCGAGCAGGCCAGTGGGCAAGGGACACCAGGCAACGAACATGGATGTACGGACTGGATGCACCCAGGCCAGGCAACCTCAAGCAAAGCAACGCAAACCAGGCGTCTGCCTCCTTCCATCTGCCATCTGCTACCGGCTCCGACCACTCGAGACATGGGCCGCACCCCTCCCCGCCTGCTCCGTCCCCTTCCCTTCGCTTTCCCCTCCATCCTATCCCGTTCCTGATCCCTATCCTGGAATTGGTACTGGTCCTGGGTCCTGGACTGGACTCCCTCCCACTCTCCCACTCCCACCTGAACCACCCCTCCTTCGCCTCCGCAGTCCAATTTGACCTGGCCTGCCTGGGCCCGAACGCGCAGAATCATTCGTAAGAGTACCACTCATCGGACACTGCATCGAACCAGTACAGGCCTCTCATACGCAGTCCAAAGCCGGCTCGTCCTGTCCCGTCTGTCTGATCGCGCCCTGACTCCGTCAATTTCCCGCAGCGACGGCTATTGTCACGACCACGACCACGACCACGGCTGCGGCTGCGGCCGCCGTCTCGGGCATGCTACCTTCTTGACACGCGCCCGCGGGACGGAAAATTGTCGTCGTTATGGAAGCATGCCCACGCCCAGGGCATGATGATGGCATAGCCCTCCACCCTTGATTAGCAGCCACCCCAAAGTCCTGACCAGGGTCTTCCCTGGCTTCCCTGTGCCTCTCGACCAGATCAACCCTGAAAGCGCCCTAGCTTCATCTCAATTGGTTCTCCCCCCCCGTACTCTGTAGCCCAGCACCGAGTCGCACAAAAACCCAACGGGAGCCACCGATCGACTCTCCTAAAACCCGTCCTGCCGTCACGACACAGTAGACGTTCATTCCGACTTCTGATCGGGCCAGAGGACAGCATACAAAAGACGGACAAGGGCAAGGCATCACATCTGCCCCTCCATCACCCGAAAAGCCCCTCTCCCCTACCCCCATCTCTCTACAGTCGAACACGTCTGGCTGCGAACTCCTGCGCCTCCGCCTCCCCCGCCCTGGTCCCTCAGCCTGCAGCAGCCCGCAACACAGCAACGACGAGGTCACCACAAACACCGCCGCATGCCGTGCAACTGAGAACCCGACAGGAAATCGTTGTGCGAGTATCACTCTGCAGCATCTCGTGAAACCCCACGACTCGCCTATCGCTTCGACTTGTCTGAAACCCGCTCTTCTCCGGCTTGTTCGTCAGCCAGCCGGCGCTTGGACACCTATCCATCAGCCTCCTAAGACGACTTTGAGAGTATCAACGACTTCGCGACGTCGACGAGCATCTGGCCGACAACCTTTGCACCAAGAATTTTGACCGCGAACACGAGCGCGTACTCGGGTCTTGCTCCTCCTTTATTTGCGCGGGATCGACTCATCGTGTCAGCGAAGGAGCCCCGTCACTGCGCTGTCTGTGAGGAGACCTGGGAGCTGCCAGTCCACCCATCTCGCTGGACAGCTTGAGGTTATCCATGCAAGACGAAAAGAGATATCACGAACCGTTCTCACTCCCTCTCGGCCAACGCCGGGGCGTATCCGATCTGGCGCCTTTCGCTTTAGACCTGACTTGGGCCAAGCAACGAGCAGAGCCTGGCACTGCTGCTCGCTCTAGGGCATACCCCTCTCCGCCCATGTCAGGGTCTCCTTCTCTCCCGCCCAACGCAACTCACGAGGCTGGGGACCGGAGCCAACTGCATGGGAGCTATTTGAGCGCCAGCTCACAAGATGCTTATCGGCCAAGTTCATCATTGGGAGCTCACAGCGGCATCCAGGGCCCGTCACCATTGATACCTCCGCCCCAGGTCCGGTCCTACCAGTCTGAACCACCGGACAGAATGACGCTTTCTTCCTACCATCGATCAGAGGAGCCTGCTCCGACCTCGGCGCCATACCCATCAATGTCTGCACAGCATGTGCATCACAGGCCGGCACCATATATGACAATGCCAGGACCGTTGCCACCACCACCCCAGCCGCCGTCCACGCAAACCTACGCTGGTCCGACGTCACAGGCGCCAGAGGACGCTCAGCCATTCGCCTCGCCCAAGTCTCAACGCAAGACGAAGGGCCATGTTGCTTCAGCATGTGTACCGTGCAAGAAAGCTCATCTCCGGTATGTTGCCCCTTACATGCTCCTTGGGCATCCATGACGCTAACACACCATCTTCAGATGTGACGGTACGTACCGATAAGCGATTTTCTTAATTGTTATTATATTGATTCAGCACTTGCTTCCCTTCTACCTCTGCATGAACGGAGCGGCATCCGACCTGCAGCGGCGCGGCGCTGTGCTGTGACCTTGGTGCATGTGGCGCTGTCGCGGCCGAGTTGGTTGACATCATCTCAACAACTAGCTGGTCTCAGGTCTGACAGCTCTGGGACTTGAGCGATGAGCACGCCACAGGTGCACTACAGAGTTGAACGTGGCCGCTGCAGGAGGCACAGCAATAAGAGGACAATACCTCTGGGCGGGCTTTTTAGGGATGACGACAGCAGAGGGGAGACACCTGCAGGATCCCAATAGTTCGATCGCGACGCTTTGATCACCTCCACAACTTAGCCAGTCAGCAGGTTTGTTAAGGTAAAGATCGGCTAGCGAAATCCGGCTCCAGGACCGACCACGCGGCACTTCGGCCCGGCGGTCTGGGACGGCGCGTCAGAGCACTTGCGCTTTGTCACCGTTGGGCTCTAACCCCATATTCGGGACCAGTCGCCAATCGTGAGCTAGCGTTGAAGGAGCCGAGTGCCGGGACTTCTCCGTTGGGACACGGAAAGGCCTCCGGCCTGTAGTCGGGAGGGACTCCTACCTGCGTCTCCGTCACGACTTTCGAGCCGCACAATCTTGCCCTTCCGAGTTCAAGTGAACAGCGATAGTACGCAACAGAGCCTGAAACGGCCTGGCAGTGGCAGCTTTGCCAGCCACTTGGCCGATCAACACTTGTTTTGTTTTCATTTGGCAGATTGAACCATCTTCAACCACAATTTCCTGCCGATGCACCACTTGCTGACATTTGCCTGCTTTGTTAATAGCCCGACGACCGTGTTCAAGATGCCTCAGCAATGGCAAAGAGGACGCGTGCATCGACGTCCAACACAAGAAACGTGGACGGCCGCGCCTGCGAGACGACAGGGAAGGCCGTTACGCTCCTTCCACGTACTCGCATCCCCAAGATGCTGCGATTAGGAGGCCGTTGAGTCTGTACTCATCTGGCGGACCGGTTTCAGGGTACGATGATCCACTCCGGCGTGTCAACTCATACCGCATTCTAAAATCTCAACAAAGCGAGCCCATCGCGCCCAGATACCTTGAGCGAGCTTCTGCGAGCGAAGCCAGCATGTACCCGCCGCCGTTGGCCATCCCGTCCTCGGCCGCTGAGCCGGTGGCTTTCCTCAACCTTGACATGGAGGTAGTGAAGGCGTCCCCAACCTTCATGGATGCCATTGGCATCTCCAACATTCGGGGAAGGGCATTATTCGACCTCGTGACCCCTTCAGAACGGACCAAAGTGCAGGGTCACCAGCTCGTCGTTCAGGAGGAGCGTAGTCGAAAAGATCCCATGTACCTTCCGCCGATTTTTGGAAAGCAGGAGGAAGAGCGCGTATTTGAGACTCTCCGCTTCGACGCCGACGAGTTGGCGCGCATCCAGATGGATAGAAGAGACATGCTGGCGTTTGCTGCACCGGGCGGCCAGCTGAGATCGTTTCTTGTCCGTTTCGGCTCAGCCAAACGGGACTCCACCTATTTCATCGCATTGATGCTGGTGCTCCCGCCAGGCGATCCATATGCCACGACTTCGCCTCATGCGAGGGAGGTGCACTACGGGTATCCAACCCATCAACCATATCATCACCCTCAGCACTCGAATACGTACAGCCAGCATCCACAGATTACTGCACCATTCGACCCGAACAGACCGAGATTTGCGGAAGGCTCCTCAGTTTCGCGTCCTTCCACTGGACACCCACCACAACTGATGCCAGGACTGAGTCCTGGTCTGAGTCCAGGTTTCAGCCCTGGTATAGGTTCTGGGATGCCTTCGTATGCGGCGTCCCCAACCAGGCCTGACTATGCTGCTGGTCCCTCATCGAGTCAAATTCCTCGCAGCGAATTGCCTCCAAGCCACAGGCCACCACCGCAGCAGCCGTCATATCAACTGCCACCAATCCGCTCATCGCCACAGCAGGTTCCCCTGCAGTCTGAGCCACCGCCCAAGAGAGGGGACCGATCAGGCCGCGTTGACATTGGAGGCCTGATTGATAAGCCTGAGCAGCCTCGACGCCCTCAGTGATGCTCCTCTGAGCGAATCGTCGAGATCTGTGATTTTTCTTGCAGTTTCCGTGACCGACCGATGCACAACCCTTTGAATCCACGATGGCGGGCGTGCCTCGTGTACTTGTAACGAACCTTGCTTGACCTTCGAACCCCATTTTGATGCGACCAAGTGTCGCCAAGAGATACCACTTGTACAAAACTTTCGTCTTCTTCACATACCTTCCTACACCTCTTTTAACTCTGCTGTCGTCGTCGGCAGCGCACCTTCTCGGGTACTGTGGCATCATTCTCGGCGTTCCCCTCCATTACTTCCAAGTCCATCTGTCTTTGGTTTCCTTGTTCTTCTCCGCCGGCTGATGGTGACGTGGAGGTGGGTGGCATGCATCGAGGTCGATGTAGGTGTAGGATACCGTTTTGGTTGGAAATAGAACTTGGTTTGGTTTGGCTATTTCCTCATGTCGACTTGGAAATTTATACCGCGCTCAATGGAAGACTGTATGGCATCAGGCGAACAGATGGCCTTTGACCCGGAAAGAGTGCATGATACTTGTGCTGTGTGATGCCACTAAACCAAAATGCGGTTTTGATGGCGGTTTCCGACCAGGATTCGTCTCCTCGGACGCGAGGTGTAGGTAGCCAAGATGCGGGTGGACGAACGCTGACACTGAAACGGCGATGGCATGTCGAGGCGGCTCAGGGAGGGACATGAAAGAGGAAAGAACAAGGCAAAGAGAGACCAAGGATGACCATATATAATGAGAGAAACAGGATCTTCGGTAAGCATGTCTGGCAGACAAGTTAACAGAAGTCAACAGAAGGGGGGAGGTCCATAATAAGGCCCTTTAAGCGCCCCGCCGCTCCGCCTCGCGCGGCCCCTTGGGCTGCACACACACGGACTAGTGAGAGAAGGAAACGAGGTGCCTGAAGCCTATCTTTCTCTCTCCCTCTTGTTTTCGGCGAATGGCAACTAGGCGCATCCGGTGAAGGTGGGCTATAACAGACAGCGACCTAAGGGATTTCGCGGCCAGAGAAATAGAAGGGGGTGGAGGGGGGACCAGGGAGGGTCGGAGCGCCAACGCTCACCGTCAGCGTCACCGCCGCGCCGGCGTGCTCGTTCTCTTCGTGCGCCGCGCTCATCTCGCGTGGATGCTCTGTCCGGAAGGGGGGGGTTATACATGTAGTATTGAATAGCACGGTCGAGCTATCGAGGACGACTGTCCGGGGTCTGGCGCGGCGGACGGGCTGTCATTGGTCCAGGGGGCGTTTCCCCGTTTCCCTGTGGCGAGATTTGTTTCCGAAACGGATGGCCCTAGAACAGAAGGGGCCCTGCCCGGGGGGTGGGGAGGGGGGGGGCCCATTATTGATTTGGGTTCTCTCTCCTTTCCTCTTTTCGTTTGGGAGCTGGGAGGGGGTTATATTGACAGCGTTGGTTCCAGGGGGGTACGTTGGAGGCGAGAGGGATTGGATGGGATGGAATGGTATGGTGCTGAGGAAGATTGGAGGGGGCCCAACCGGCCGGCCGACGGAGATCGAGATGGGAACTCACTGTCTGCTGACGCTGAGGGTGGGTTGAGCATGTCTGTGTGTGCGCTTGTAATGGGCGGACGACAAGAGAAGAGACGAGAAGAAAAGAAGACGGAGAGAAAGTGCGAGCCGGGAATGCAAGGAGTAATACGTGAGCGGGAGTCCGCCCCAACCATCTGAGCTGGGTCTTTCTGCTCCGTCCTCGAGCCCACGCGAGCCGGACCTTTTGGCTCTTCTTTAAACATCCGACGGGTGGCTTTGTCTGTCTCACACATGTGCATGCGTGCGTACATCCCCAGCCAACCTGCTTCCCAACCTGCCAGTGTCAGACTGCGAGAACCGCGTGGTCTGCTGCCCCCCTCCCCCCCTCCCCCCCTCTCCCCCCAGCAGCGGGGACGGGGTTGGAGAAGGGGTCGGGCAGCAGAGACAAAGAGGAAGAGAAGGGGGGGGCAGGCAGAAGAAGCGAGGAAAAAGGGGGGGGGTGTGGTAGGAGTGGAAAGTCTGGGGGCGGCAGAAAAGAGAAGACAAGGGGGTGTTGCTCGTGGGTGGTTTAAATCTCCGAGAGTGGGAATACCCAACGACAAGGGGGCGAGAGGGGGGGGCTTGCCTTTCCAATGGTTCTCGCGTGCCGTTTGTGTCTCTGTTCGGAGAGAAGGTGGCCAATGGCTGGTGGACGGGAGGAGGTTTTTTTTTTTTAATTCCCCCCCGGTGGGTTGTGTTGGTGGGAAAGGGGGGGGGGCGGTTGTCTTGTGTTTCTGTTTTTGGAGATGGGCTGAGTGGAGGAGCGAGTGCTGACCAGGTGGCGGGGGTTGGAATGCTTGGCCGCCCTTGCCGTTGGAGTTCCCTTCTCCCCCAGCTGAAGTTGGAGGCAGTTTATCGCTCGTGGCCCGGTTCCTCTGGCGGCGCAACAATAGCATTCTTGTGATAAGGTGCACGTCGTCTAGGGTTGCCACTTTTCGTTTGTTCGGCTGTGGAGCTGTTCAAGGGTGGATGGCCCGGCCGCCGGCCGGCTGGCGCACTAAAAGAGCACGCCGTGAAACAATCAGTCAGCCCGTGGTCTGCACGGATCGCAATCCTCCCCCATTCCAACAGCTATACACGGCTATGCCGTTGCCCTTGGGTGTCTGCATCCTGTGTGGGACACGCAAGGCTTCGCGCTTCACGATCACCACGCGCTGAGAGTGGTCCTTATGCTGGCATTGATGGTATTATTCCTGAGATGAATATCTGGAGATACATGGAAGGGATAGAAAGAAACTCGATTGACAATCCAAAGAAACCCAGGGTAAGACATGCAAGCATAAGCCGCGAAAGGAAATACGTGCACCGGTGTTGGTGGTACACAACTTTTGGAGGGCATCCATCGCCTGGGGATCGATTGATGTTTGGGCTGCGCCAGATTCTCGTCAATTGCTCGGGAGGGGACGTTCCGCGATGGAATAGTGTACACGAAGATGGGCTCCTTGCAGAAGTCCGAGGGTAGAAACAAACGAAGCCCGGCAGTGAAGCCGGTGAGGCCCAGCAGTCTGTGTCCGTGGGCATGACTTGGCTGGGCCTTGTTTCTTCGTCTGGGGAGATGACGAGGCAGCACGTGTGGAGACCTTTCGGGGTCTGGTACTCTAGAACTATTCGCGTAAAACAGAAAAGGATCAAGATAATAATATGTGGAAACGCCGTCCGACCTTGCCGAGTGTTACCAAGACTATGTTGTTGCAGGTCGATCTTGGTATCGAACGTGGGTGCAGGTCAACATGATCGAACGAGATGAGTCGCTCCTCGTGTGTCCGCCTGAACTAGCAGACCATTGGTGCGAGAAACAGCCAAGGGCATGCCGATTTCCGCGGGAGAGTTGTCATCGGAGAGCTGGTTATGTAGCTAGTGCCTGTCCCCGTAGCTCCTGTGACGACCCGAACGGTGAAGGGCGCCATCAGCGTGGCGACGGCGGCGGGCCTGGTCGCTGCTGCTGTTGTCATTGGTGCTGGTACCTGACGACGATGGGTCCTCGAGTCTTATCGAGTCGGAAGTATGTCTCTTGGAGTCATGCTTCAAGCGCTTCGTAAAACCATCAACCTTGGCGCGCTCCAGCTGGTCATCGAGGTCGCGCTCCATCTTGTCGCGGCTACGCTTGCCATTGGAGTACTGATGGTCGATGGGTGTCGAAGCGAGGGCCAGGTCATGAAGCCAAATGTTCGACTTCTCCACAGGCGTCGAGTGACGAGAGCCGTTGGGGGTGAATTCCTCAGTGATGAGACGAAGACTCCCGCCCAGGTCGCGGCGGCGGTCGTCGTTGTGACGGCCAACGCCCTGGTAGGGGAAGGAAGCTTGGGAGTCAGGGTTGGAGGGACGGCGCCTAGAATAAGGTCAGGCTGGGGGGTTGGTGGGAACTGCCAGGGAGAAAAGGAGAGAGGGTGTTTACTCGGGGCTTCCGTTCCGCGCTCGCGTCGAGGCAGCATCCGTGTTGCTGCTCCGCCCATGTTCGGATCGGTCCTGGCACATTGCGGTCCAGCTGACTGAGAGCACTAGAGGTTTTTCTACAATGTGTTGATTCTGGAATGCTAGATCGGCAGGCGATAGAGAAAAGATCTTGGCGATGAGATAACACATCCACTTGTGCCATGGCGGCCAAGCTATATAAGTAGCTGATCAAGCGCATAGTTAGTATCAGGAGCGACACACATTGTGCATCGATCGCGACTGTACTCGGTGACCGATGACCAAGAAGCTTCCCAGCCAAAAAAAAAAAATTGGGCACCGCGGCTGAAGGCGCCCAGGCTTTGCCAGCGTGTCAGAACTCTGGGGGCGCAAGAGCCATATTAGGACGAGGCTTTGGGGGTCCAATGGGCCACAGCACTCGCCGGATGGCTTCCCCAAGGCTGGGCAACTGGACGATGCAGCTCCTCTGCCCGTGATGCAGTGAAACCACTGTGGGTTAGGCGCGGAAAGCCTCCGCCACATGTGTCTGACGGGCTGGTGTCTCTCGATCGCTTGAGTTCCCAATCGGCGGTTGCGCCAACGTCATATCATGCAGCCTAGTGTAGCATTCGGACATGGCCGTAACAAGCACCAGCATATTGTCCAGAAAGGCTTCATAGGACCTGATCCTGCCATGATCGAGCCTGATCACCCACATACGTGCAGAGCAGTTGTAGAAAAGCGTTCACATACACACGCGAGGGGGCTGGCCGGGGTGGCCCCCACGGCGTGGTCGTGACACAAAGGGGGGGGAGGGATCATAAGCATAAGGCTGATACTCGGGGGCCGTTTCCAGAAGCGTTTATCTGCCTGAAACGTGGGATCGCTCGCGAATGTAAGCAGCGTTTATTTGCAATGCCCCATTTCGCGAAATCATTACCCAACTGCTTTTACAGGGCTGCCTTGTGTGGACGAACAGCACAACGTAGCTGTGGATGTGAACAGGGGCCGCCCAGGCGACGTGGCCCTCCTTCGCCTATGCACATACGTGTCAGTTCGGAGGGGAGGGGAGGTGACAGACTCGGGCTTGCGCGAAACGATGTTGACGTCCTTGGGGCGGTCGAAGTGCCCGTGATGATACTTGGCGAGGCCTTCAAAGCCATACAGTACTCGATGGCGGGAGATCGGCAGCCTTGGTACACGATTTCGGCGTCGAGGCTTAATTCCACGGTCAAAGTGGATTTGCGACAGGATGAAAACTTTGTGAAGCAAATGGGCGATGCAGACGCGGAATCTGTTCCACCTGGGAGCGATTGTCCAATGGGTTTGCCCATTCTGGCGATGTCGTGGTGAACACATGGAACGAGTCTGTCCACGTGACGACGCGCGATCGCACCTCCCCTTCGTTCGCGGCCCGCGTTCAGTGACGAGCAACTCGCACTGTATCTCAACATCCGTGTCGCCGCCGTCTGGATCGAGGGCCACCATTACCATCTCGCACGAGATTTGTGAGAGCTGATACAGCACGAACATAATGCATTTCTGTCTCCTCCAAACCTTAGTTTGAAGCTGCATCGTCAATCCACGGCCAATCAATAGCCCGCCCCAATTCGCCCTGAACACCCACCCCCCCATTGAATCGGGCGGATTCCGTGTTGGGGCGGTGTCGTGAAGTCCGCACCTGGTTGCCTCGCTCTGGCTAGATCCCTCACACGTCCTACAAGCCATCGAAGCCCCAGCATGGCTGAACCAATGGATGTTGATGTTGGCAGTGGCGCCAAAAGGAAAGCCCAGGACGAACCTGACGAGACGCGGGCCCCTCGGCGGATCAGAGCAAGTCTGCGATGAACGCCCCAGTTGACGTGCCACCTCTAACGTGCATAACCACAGGCTCTCTCACCCAAGGTGGTCAACAAGATTGCTGCTGGCGAGATCATCGTCGCCCCTGTCCACGCCCTCAAGGAGCTCATCGAGAACGCCGTAGACGCAGGGTCCACGTCACTCGAGGTGCTTGTCAAGGAAGGGGGTCTCAAGTTGTTGCAGATTACAGACAATGGCAGCGGCATCCAGGTACATTTTCACCGCATCCTCCATGGCCGCCTCACTAACAGAGCCTAGAAAGATGATCTGCCCATTCTCTGCGAACGCCACACCACATCCAAGATTACGTCCTTCGAGGACCTCACGTCCATCGCGACCTACGGCTTTCGGGGCGAAGCGCTTGCCAGCATCAGCCACATTGCCCATTTGTCTGTCACCACCAAGACGAAAGATTCAGCGGTCGCCTGGCGCGCCCATTTCCTTGATGGAAAACTCGCGCCGGCGAAACCGGGCCAGTCGGCTGAGCCTAAGAAGGTCGCCGGCCGCGACGGAACGCAGATCAGTGTCGAGGACCTCTTTTTCAACATACCGACACGGCGGCGTGCCTTCCGCTCACCGTCTGAGGAGTACAACAAGATCATCGACATGGTCGGCCGCTACGCCATACACTGTCAGGGCGTCGCCTTTTCTTGCAAGAAGCAGGGCGAGTCGGGCGCGAGCGTCTCCGTGCAGGCGAGCGCCTCGACGACTGATCGCGTGCGGCAGATCTATGGTTCCAGTGTTGGCAACGAGCTGATTGAATTCGCAACGTCCGACGATCGTTGGGCTTTCAAGGCCGACGGCCTGGTGACGAATGCCAACTATCACATCAAAAAGACGACGTTCCTGCTCTTCATCAACCATCGCTGTGTGGAGTCGACGACCATCAGAAAGGCCATTGAGCAGGTATATGCCACTTTCCTTCCCAAGAACGGTCGCCCCTTTATCTACCTGAGCCTGGAGATTGACCCGGCCCGTGTCGACGTCAACGTTCACCCCACAAAACGCGAGGTGCACTTTTTGAACGAAGACGAGATCATTCAGGTAGTGTGTGAGCAGGTTCGTACCAAGCTAGCGGAAGTAGACACCAGCCGAACTTTCATGACCCAGACCCTGCTGCCGGGCGCACAGTGGACCGACGCGGCGTCAAAATCAGCTGTTGAAGACGGTGATGGCGCTCCTCCACTGGCGGCCACATCGGGATCCAGTCGGCCGCGTAGGAATTCTAAGAACCTCGTACGAACCGATACATCCCTCCGCAAGATCACAAGCATGTTCACTGCAGTACCCGCAACTGATCAGGACGAAAATAACACGGGAGCGGGAGATGACGATGTCCTCGCTGCGCCCGAGAACATCCAGTACGCAATAGTGGACAAGGAGTCCACGGTTTGTCGTCTCAGCAGCATCAAGGAGCTTCGAGCTGCCGTCCGAGACGATATGCATCACGACCTGACCGAGGTGTTTGCCGGCCATACGTTTGTCGGAATTGTTGATGAACAGCGGAGGCTGGCGGCCGTTCAAGGCGGGGTCAAGCTGTATCTGATCGATTACGGCTTCGCCTGCTTTGAGTACTGCTACCAGATTGGCCTGACCGACTTTGGCAACTTTGGCTCCATACGCTTTAGTCCGCCGTTAGAACTCAAGGAGCTGCTGCGGATCGCCGCACGCCAGGAGAAGGCAGAGGTCCAATCACCCGAAGACGATTTCGAGGTGGAGGATGTTGTCAGACGCGTGGCAGAGCAATTGATCGAGCGCCGAGAGATGCTGCTCGAGTACTTCTCGCTCGAGATTACACCGTCAGGCGAGCTCAGGACGATGCCGCTGCTCATCAAGGGCTATACGCCACCGCTGGTGAAGCTGCCGCGGTTCCTCCTCCGACTGGGCCCGTATGTCGATTGGACGAGCGAGACGGCGTGTTTCGAGACGTTTCTCCGGGAGCTCGCGTCATTCTACGTGCCGGAAAAACTGCCCCCGCGCAAAGGGCGTGCAGACAGCAGCGAGACTGCAGAGGTGACGACGAGGCGCAAGAACATTCGATGGGCGATTGAGCATATTTTCTTTCCCGCATTTAAAGCACGCTTGGTGGCAACGACGCCACTGATGAAAGGCGGCGTGCTGGAGGTCGCAGATTTGAAGGGACTGTATCGCGTGTTTGAGCGGTGTTGATCTGGAGCGGATAGGCTTGGTGATGTTGTCTGGGGAACTTGCTGGGCCGTGTGTTGCTGGACTGATGGGGACAGCTGGTCGAATAGCCTGATCGAGTAGCCTGATCGAGTAGCCTGGTCGAATAGCTTGGCCGAATGAAGCTGTGATTTCAAGCGTTTGATGTTCTGCGCCTCAACATTGTTTGAGCTTTTAGTTCATCTATATCATTTATGAGGCCGAAGACCTTGCCGCACGACCCAGCCAGGATCCTCAATATTCACCGACATCACGAGTGAGCGTACGTACATCCTTAGCTCGAACCATTTGGTCATTCCAAGGCTTGTGCAAAACATGGAATGTCTGGTTAAACATGTGTTGTTCTGCTGGATCTGGACAAAACAGCTTCGCGACGCCTCAGACAGTGCCCTTCACCTTGATCGGCAGTACACGCAGTTATGGCTACAACTCCACGATGATGGGCAGAAACTCTTGTCGAAGGGTCGACATCTGACGTCTACGAGGTTCAACTTTCCTATTCACGGTTCGCAGCGGACCGTGAACCAAGTTGATCCATGAGCGTTCTTATCATTCATAGCACATAGCAACTATCACAGTTCCAACACCATCAAGGCTGCGACATGAGCCGACCAACACACAGATTCGGCACCTCAACAACAACGGTGGCGTTCATGCTGCCTCCACGATACGCATATGTAAACGTGCCGCCCCAGCCCGACGCCGCGGCGCCATGGTTTCCGTCCTTATCAACGACGACGATACCGCTGGCCACAGCCGGGTACTTGCGCACCATCCTACGCACAGCATTCTCGGCCGCCTCTGTCGGCGCCATGCCGTTGCGCATGCTCTCGACAGCCTGGTAGCACGGCAAGAACCGCATCATAATGTCGCCGTCGCCCGTGGCGCCGCAGGCCCCGACGTCGTTGTCCACGTACGACCCAGACCCGACAATGGGCCCGTCGCCTACGCGACCCGGCACCTTGAACGAGGCGCCGTTGGTCGACGTCCCCGCGGCCATGACGCCGTCCGCCGAAATGGCCGTCAGCGAAATGGTGTCGTGGCCGCTCTGGCGCGCCCCCGGCGCAATGAGCGCGTGGTACCCCGGCGCCGCGGCATCGAGCCCGCCCCCGGGCCCCGGCGGCAGCGCGTACGGCCCGCACCCGCGGCGCGGATCCGGCAGCACGTTCTGGCGGTAGTTGGGCTGGCAGTCGGCGGCGCGCCAGGCGGCGCAGCGCGAGGCCGTGGCGTCGGTGCCGAGGGTCTCCTCGCGAAAGCCGTGCGCGACGGCAAAGGCCGTGGCGAGGTCGCCGGCGAGCAGGGTGTGGGTGGTGCGCTCGAGGACGGCGCGCGCGACGCCGATGGCGTTCTTGATGCGGCGCAGCCCGGCCACGGCGCCGGCTTTCATGGTGACGCCGTCCATGATCATGGCGTCGAGCGTCGTCTCGCACGATTCATCCGGCGACCCGCCGTAGCCGACGGAGCCGTCGCACTGGTTCGCCTCGCAAACGGAGCACCCCGTCTCGACGGCGTCGAGGGCCGCGCCGCCCTCGAGGAGGGATGCGTAGGCTGCGTCGGTGGCGGCGACGAACGGACCGCCCCACGTGTTGATCGCCAGCGGGAGGCCCGGCGAGGGGGCCGCTGCGGCGAGGGCCGCGAGCGCTACGGGAAGCATGGCACGCCTCATTGTGTGGATGCCGATGGCGCGAGTGTAGTGGTGTGTGTGTGAGAGGTGAGCGCCGCCTTGACCGAATGGGCGATGTGGTGCCTGGCATGCCTGCAGGATCTGGGCTTTTCAAAGAGCGGGAGTGGCGGCCTTCTTATTGATCGCCCGCATCCGGACGGACAGCGAGAGATGATGCTGAAGCTAGGGCTACCCCGCGCCCGGTCGATATCTCCATCTCGATCCAACGGTCGTTAGCTGTTGGTTCGGTTCGGGTTCGGCAGGGATAGTCGCAAGGAACGGCTGGGGCGAACAAACGTTACACTGGACTAGCCCACGTCTTTGTCGATCCTGCGCCTATCGACCTTCCCGTCTGAGAACGTCGCAGCGCCGGTGAGTGGTTGGGATCGTTGCCGGCAGTGATAAAACGCTATCGTCTCCTCACTTGGCATCTTGTTGCTGTTCGTTGCATCGGATGTTTTGGCCCGCGGTTTTCATTCGAATTGTTCCGAGTATCTGGGCTCGTCAGTCGGAAGGAGGAATGCCACCTCCTGGAGAATTGACGGGTTGCATAGTAGAGGGCGTCACTACATGGTGCATTGCATCCTTGCATTCAAGTAGCCCGCACAATAAATGAGGCTATCCAGAGTTGGGAACAGTATGCTACGAATATGCCGCCATGCTTGTGAAATGGAAAGCCTGTGAGTTCCTAACCATACATCTAAGGAAAACGATCCCAAACGCCAGGCTCCTACTCGTTTCCTTGGCTCGTCAGCCATGCTTCTCCCTCTCCGCAGTCATACAACCCAGCAGCCAGCCAGCCTAGACCCTAGTTCAGCTGGATATCGTACCCGTCCTTGTTGATGCGCACTTCGTCGCTGCGCAGGCCGTACTTCCTCCGCACGAGCTCAAATATGATGAGGCCGGCGCTCGTGCTCGGCACCTGACGGATCGTGTTCCACCAGAACCCCCGGTACAGCCAGCTGCGCACGCTCCGGCCCTGGGCCGCCGCCGCCGCCTCGCACTGCGCCCACGTCTCCTGGTAGGCGTGGTAGTAGATGCGGAAGATGGACCCCCGCGCCGGCGCGCCGCCCCGGGCCGCGGCGTCGGCCCGCATGTTCGCCGCCTTCTGGTCAATGTCCTCGAGGTGGTCCCAGTGCTCGAGCTGGAAGTGCGTCAACGGGTGCATGACGGCCTGCTGGGCGAACGAGGCGGTGACGCCGGCGAGCAGCAGGAACAGGGGCTCGATGGCGTAGTGCGGCTTGATGATGAGGGGCGTGATGCCGTCGTTGTCGGCGGCGCGGCCGCCGGCAGGCGTCGGCCGCCGCGTCGCCAAGAGGTTGGCCATGTCCTCGTTGAGGTCGCCGTAGTACCACGTCACGAAGCGGTAGTAGCTCTGGGCCTTGACGTACTCGAAGGTGCTGAAGAAGACGGCGCTGCCGAGGCCGTCCTTGAGGAGCGAGAGGCCGTAGCCGGCGAAGATGCCGCCGGGGCCGATCTCGCGCAGCTTCTCGGCGCTGAAGGTCCACATGCTCTTGGGCGCGCCGCCGCGCCCGTCGGCCGGCAGGAGGTCGCGGTGGTCGTAGCGCGCCTGGATGGCGTCGAGCGGCGCCGCGACGAGGCTCTGCAGGGCGCCCGCGAGCAGGCCGGCCGTGAAGGTGTGGACGGGCTCGGGCGGCGGGTAGACGGTGCGGCGGGCCCTCGCGCTCTCCTCGTGCAGCTGGCCGAGGATCTGGAGGTAGCTCGTGTAGAGGACGGCGCCGACGGTCACGTTGGCCAGCAGCGGCGGCAGGATCTGGTTGGGCACGACGCCCCAGCCGTGATGGCGGATGGCCGTCGTCAGGACGCCGGGCGTCGTGCCGCGCAGCCAGTCCCACGTGTGGCGCAGGCCGTTCTGGAACCGCGACCGGGCGGCGGCCGACGCCGGATCGCGGCGCTGCAGCTGCTTCTGGATCTGGTCGAGGTGCACGCTGCGGGCCCAGGCGAGGTAGTCGACGCGTGTGCGGAAGAAGGCCTTGACGGGGGCGCGGAAGTAGAAGGCGATGGCCTGCGCGCTGAGGGCCCGCACGCCCGCCGCCGATGCTGCCGTCGCCGCGTTGCTTCGTGGGTTCTTGTCTGGCAGCAGATCGGGCGGGACCACGGGCAGGACGCCGGTCGAGGGGAACCCCGTCGTCGGGTCGTAGGGAAGGCCCTGTGCCGGTGATGAGCCGTCGGCAGGACCGTGCTTCATGGCGAGCGCATGTTCGATGGCGTGTGATGGGAGGCGAGAGAGACGGGGAGAGAGCTGAGGCTGGTGGTGATGTTGGTGGATGAGAGGTTCCTCGAAAGCCTCGTGTTGATCGCGGCTGACTAAGACACACACGCTCCCCCCATGTCACGTGCTCGTGACGACCTCTGATCGCCAGCCTCCTTCCGAGGATCCGCTTCAGCAGAGCTCACGACACCAACCCCACTCCCTCAGGTCGGCCAGCTGATGCTTGTTGTTTGTTGGATTCGTGAGACTGCTCATCAAAAGACATGGAACGCTCATACTCGCCTGCCATGACGCATGCCACCACTGAAACCTGGTTCTTCATACTCGCTCCTCGTCACCAGCACGCGCCAGCAGACTATGCGTCTCGAGGAACCTCACCAGAGCAAAATGCAAAAGTGGAGATGCCCGGGATTGAACCGGGGACCTTTCGCATGCGAAGCGAACAGTCTACCACTGACCTACATCCCCCGTCGATGAGCTTTCCAAGGGGCAGAGACGGACTACAGACCAACGGGACGAAGACTGGCAACGCGGGGGCTGCGCAGACTGGCCGAGCCTTGCATCGAGCATTGCATCGAGCAGGAGAATTTCCTGAAGGAGATCCTCTTTCCTGGCCCTGGAACATTTCTCGGGTGGAAGGTGGTCATTTTCGTAACCATCGTCTTGGTTGACTGAGATGGCGCGCGCGCTTTCAGCGGCTGCGAAGGCCAAACGTGTCATCTCATCTCTGGTCTCTTTGCTGCGATCAGACGGCAAGCTCATATCATATCGGCCCTGCCTCTGCTTCATCGAAATGAGTTTGTGGTCTGCCAGGCCAAAGCGCAAACGCCACAGCACCAGTGACGAAAAGGCCATGGGGCAAGGCAGCCGCGCGGTCACGATGCTGGATTCGCCTCTCGGCCATTTGATGCCAAAACGAGTCGTGTTCCATGCTCTCTTGCGACAAGTGCAGCTGAAAACGTAGCGCAATGCTGTTGGCTCTCCTGCAGGGGAAGCAGGGACAAACCACATTCAAGAGCATGGCGGAGACTTTCCCGGCGTGTGGTATGAAGAGATACTGACCAGGCAACTACTGACAAGCAACAGGCGTCATGGCAATTCGACAGGCGAAAATCAACTTGCGGATGGCGCATGGCGCGCGCAGACATGCACTTTTTTTTCCCACCGCAGACATGTCAGCCACCTCGCGTATATGGGATTCTGTGATCTCCATGCCAACCTTGACGCCCCCTGATGCGATTCCTCCACATCGCAGACATGTTACACATCTCGCGTACATGGGATTGTGTAAATGTCCTCCCTGCTTGCACGACAACCCTCATGGACGTTTCTCGTTACGGCGCCAGACATTCCACGTTCCCCTTGCGTCCCTTGAACCAACTTTGACGCCTCGCGAGGCCAGCCGGCGCTGCTGACGAATGTTGCCATGGTCTGAGTGGATCAGGAACCCTTTGGGTTCTTTTATCGGCTAGACTCCCCTCCCGCGCGCTTGACGAAGGGTCTCGACACAGACCTGTCAAGTAGTTGAGACCTGTCAAGACACCGAGACCCATCAAGAAGCTGAGACCTGTCAAGAAGCTGAGACCCATCAAGAAGCCGAGACCTGTCAAGAAGCTGCGGAGTCAGTTGCGATAGAGAGAAGAAAAAGTCCAAACCCTTCTTCGGGTCACCCGACGGATGTCTCACATCGGCGTATCCCTCCAGGTCGAACGCATAGCACACCAGCGGGCACGCAGCAGACACTCAGGCGAGGGAGCCCACGCCACATGGCCCATGCAGTCTAGGCCTCTGGTGCTCGCTTCAGCTTGTCGGCTGAAGCGCGCAGTAGCTCGCCGGGCCTGGCGCCAAAAGACGCCGGGACCATGACCCATTTTGGGTGCGAAGCCCCGTCGATAGGCGAGGGCGCCATGAGGGATGACTGGCGGAGAAATGCAGCAGTCGTTGGCGGGTTGGCAGGAGCGGGCGTCTGCCAGCCGTTATCAGGAGCATCAGTGGCTTGCAGGAACACGTCGCGACCATGGGAGATGCTGCCTTTTTCTTTTTTCTTTTTTTTTCCCTTCCTTTTTTGCTCTTTTTTTCCCCCTCTTTTTGTTTCTCTCACAAAGAACGGAGGCGTCTCCATGCGCGGCAAGGGAGGGAATGCACCAACAAGCTTACCATGGGGGAGAGAAGACAAGCGCAGAAAAAAGAGACATAAGAGGGGAGCCCATCGCATATGATCGTCGCTATGCAGGTCGGAACAATGAGTGGTAGGGCGGGAGCAGCCGGATCCTCAGACAAAGGGCAGGAGATGCAAATTCGGGTCGCAAACAAGCATTTTCTCTCCTTCTGGGCGACCCAAGATCAGGGCCAGGGGCGAGGGGGGATGTCCGAGGGCCGGCCCAATGCAGAACGTGCACATTTCCCAGTCGAGACCCGGCACCTCGGCCCCTGGGAAGGCCCCTAAGAGGGAAAAAAAAAAAACCCCCACCATGACTCGGAGGAGCGATATCGTCCTCTGTTCAGTGGAAAGATCCCCCGGAACCCCTGGCCGTGGCGCCCCAGAGGCCCAACTGGGGCACCGGACAGGCCCTAACGAGCCCCCCCCCCTGCCTCTGTGCCTCAGCCCCAGGAACGGCGCCCTTGGCCCCTCCCTGCAGCACGCCAGCACGCCAGCACGTCCGGCACGCCAGCACCACGTGGGAAAGCTTGTCACGCAACGCCCAGTTCGCCGTCTGCCCTTGCCCAGACCTCGCACTGGCCCCGCTTCCCTATCCTAGCCTCGTCTTTGACAACTGCCGCTCTTCCTGGCCTACCTGTCTTTTGCCTGTCTTCCAACGACTCCCAAAGCCAACGCACACCATGCAGGATCCACTCGTTCGCCTGATTGTGCTCGACTGGGACGATGGCACGCTGAGGCTATCGAATTCTTAGCGTTAGCGCTCGATCACGCCGACCCCCCCGATATCGCGAATGCCCCCATGGGCCACGACATCTCTGGCTCCTGTCTGGCTCCTGTCTGGCTCCTGTCTGGCGCCTCGGACGCCTAGGACGATTTCCAATATGAGACCCAGGCACAGAAGCCTTGCCGGCCACCAGATTGGACAGCTAAACGGGAGGCTAGCCAACGAGAGGCGTTCCCAGCTATGCGGTCCCCTTCCCCCAAGATGAGGAACTAGCCGGTAGGCCTCCCCGTCTGCTTCGATGTGCTTCCCCCAAAATAAGTCCAGGTCAAGCTTTTCTGACCATGAACACAGGGGTCAGGGGCTTCACGATGATGCGGAACCGAGCTCAGCTCGCATCTTGACATGAAGCTAGACTATCATTTTCGTCGGTCGAAAGCGATGGCCTCGCCTCGTCTGGAGAAGCACGGCCGTTGGATGGACTGATGGACAGCGGCACCAAGTAGCTCCGGCATCTGCCTGGCATACGCGCCGTTCATACAAGATGGACCTGCTTTCCCAGGCTCGGCGACGTCGAGTGCGATGCCCTCCTCTTGATGCTCGTCCTCCCCCACGCCCATCGTTCTCCGGCCCTCCGCCAAATCACCCACCTCTTCACACGTGTTTCGACCGGCCTCCACCACCCCCCCTCCGGCCCTCTGCCGTCCGCCGCCTGCCGCTGATCACCATCATCCGCCAGCATGAAGGCCACCGTCCTGTCGCTGCTGCTGCTCGGCCTCTGCCGGCCAAGTGCTGCTGCCGCTGAAGGTGCGAACACTGTTGCCCCTCCTTCTGCTGATTTGGTCTGCCCGGCCCGCCGCCCCAATCCGCCTGCTTCTGCTTCTGCTTCTGCTTCTGCTTCTGCTTCTGCTTCTGCTTCTGCTT